CATTGGGAAAGACACCTGCTGTAGATCTCTGGCCTTCACCTGACTGCTTACACACATATATGCACATAGAACCATATGCATGTAAACACTCACGCGTGGACCCAGAAGAAGCACGAGCACGAACACGTGCATCCATTACCTAGGAGAACCACATGCATGCGCATACTCATACAAGTACCTAGAACTACAGATGCTTGTGCCTAAAAGAACACATACACAAAATAAGAAGCGAAGTTCTGCTCTGTGCCCTTTGTAGATACCAAAACTATGTTCACTAGACTGATGAGTTAACTCTTTCAGCTTTCCTGAAAACTAGGAGTGTTTGCTTTTCAGCACGAGGGATTCTTATCTTATTCTCTGTGGTGCTAAGAGCAGGAGACTGGTCCTTTGAGGTGTCATTAGGGGCTCTGGTGTCCTGGAATGAGTATCCTCTGAACACTGATATCTTTCCCTTTCAGCCTTGACTCCCCATCTATCATTATTAAATCAACTCACAAAAAGCAAAAAAAAAAAAAAAAAAAAAAAAAAAGAATTCTGAGAAAAGAACAAAAGATCTCCCCCCAACCCCCTCAAGCAAGCAACTGTTCTTCCTGTCACTCAGAGCCAGACTCCAGATCATTGGCCAGAGCCAGCCTCCTTATGGCCTCTACCTGGGAGACCTGGAACACATTTGACAGTGAGTCCACCTTCACGTCCTCCAGTTCCTTTCTTGTTTCCATGAGCTGCTCTCATCTGAACAAACTTTGGTTTGGCCCCTCTTTTTTTTTTTTTTTTTGGACGCTTAGCTTTTGTCAAGCTGTCAGTGGGAAACTGGGATACAGAAAGCCCAGTCCACAGACCTCCCAAGCAAGGAAGAGTCCAGGCCATGTCAGACATGGCCTGCGCAGCCATGGAATCTAGTCCCCACCCCTCGGGGGCTCATGGTGGCATCCATCATTATGCCTTCCTGGCTCCGTTGCACCCATGAGTCCTTTGAACGGGAGCGTACGAGAGGACCCTCGGCAGTCACCAAAGCAGCCTCAGATGTAGCCACCTTTATTCACATGGAGATTATTCATGAATACATGATCAGAATGTCATTTTTCAGAGTTCCCTGTCGCCTTTGAGGTACATTCCTTTTAAAGTTCCCATCCATGCAGAGTGATGCCATTTCTCAGTAATCATTTCTTTGATTTGGGGGTGGGGGTGGGGGTGGGGAGAACGTTCTGAAAACCCGGTAAGTGCTTTGAGCTGTGCTCAGCCTCTCCCCCTACCGATGCCCTGCACTAGGAAAAGCTCTGTCATTTGCCTGGGCACCGCATCACCTCCTTGCTGAGGGGAAGGAACTCTGTGTTATAGTTCCTTTTAAGCTGTGACATGGAACCCCATTTGCAGGGAAGCATGGAAGGGCAAAGGCCCAAGAAAACTCCTGTCAAGCACTCAGCGCTGTATGTTCCATTCACGTGACCCCTTTGGACTGTATTTTCCTCATCCTGCGATGAGTCTTCTGAAATAGATTACAGAATTGACACATGGTGCTACAGGAGAAGGTGAATTGTTGAACTTGGTCACATGATAAGGTTTCTTCACATCACCATATGACCAGTAACGAGACTAAACAATGACGCACACCTTGAATAAAGCAGTTCTAGACTATCGCTGTAAGTGAACGCATGCATGAGTGTGTGTGTGTGTGTGTGTGTGTGTGTGTGTGTGTGTGTGTGTGTGT